AACTTGGAAATTCCCGAGTGGTAGTAGGACCTAAGAATTAACCTAAAAATCACCCTGCTAGCCAGGGACTGCACGGAGGACTGTGCACAGTGGCTGGGGAACAAACGGAGAAGGTGAAGAGAAAGGTTGGCTGAACTGTGGACTTTTGCCGGTCCGGAAGGCGCCACCATTTTGAAGGATTAAAAAGCAGCTTGACTATTTTGGATACTTCAAGAGACAACACTCTCGCAGATTACTGGGACTTAAGAACATGTTCTGCTTTCCAGCAACTTAAGGACACTCGGGACCTGAAACATTGAAAAGGTACGACATTCCTCTTGTTACTCTTATACCCGAAACCTGCTTGGTGAACAGAGATGCGGCCAGCCCCCACTCCCACCTACCTTCTGGGCCCACAGGAACTCCATCACAGTCTGTGTGCTCAGACGGAGCCTGGGTGCCCTGCCTGTCCGCCACCGAATCTTTTTCTTTCCTTTTTCTCTTTTTTTGTATTATTATTTTTTTTCTTTTTCGCTTTCTTTTTTCTGGTAATTAGTTTGCTTGTATTTGTCTATTTTAAAACAACTAGTATTGTTAATACTTTTGTCCTTTTTATTTATTTATTTATTTATATTGTGATTTGGGTGAAGATTTACAGAGAAAATTCACTTTCTATACAGCAGTTCACATATACTTTGTCTCATGTCAGTCCTCTTTATTATTATTCTTAATCTTCCCCTCCCAGGTCCTAGTTTTCAGCATTTTTTCTTTAACCTGTGCCTGGTTGAATTTTTTTTAAATTTAAGGTTTTTTTTTTTTTCCCTTCCCACTATTTTCTCATGGTTAACCCTATTCCTTGTTTTTTCTTTTTGCATCTTTCCCATTTTTTTTCCATTTATTATTCCCCTTCTTTACTTTTTTTTTTTTTTTCCCCCTTAGTGCCCTAACCCTAGATATTGCAGGTTTTCTTGTTTTTTCCCCTTTTTTCTTTTTTTGGTTACTGTTCCTGTATAATTAGATGGTGTGTTTTTTGTCCATGGGCTTTAGTTTTTTGATAGTTATTTAATGGTAATTTGTGTATAACTGAGTGGGAGACAACAACAGATTCCATAAGACACAACTACACCCACACCTCCTGTGACATCACTTACTGGGTGAGAGCCACTACCTCCTGCTCCACCAATGGGCCAACGATAAAAAACCACCAAGAAGAGCCTGAATCACGCTTGGCTGCTCTTCACAAACAATTAACAGAGATCTAAATACAACAATGCCACGATGCCTCGGAGACAACAGACCATCACAGTCCACACAAAATAGAAGGATAAAGTGGTAGAAACAAGGGAACAGGATACAGACCCAGAACACATCCCTGAGGAAGCAGCAGCATTGGAACTCTCTGATAAGGAATTCAAAAGAATTATCTTTAGGTATCTTCAAAGGATTGAGAGTCAGACAAAAGAAAACACAGAAAA